TTTACTGAACTCTCTTGTGGCCTGTATTTCCTCATTTTATTTCACATCCTGCTACCAACCGGTGCTAGTGATACCAGCCTCCAGGCCTCTTGATTTTCTTCTCTGCGTACAAGGTTATTTATTACTATCCCAGTTCTCCAAAATTCCAGCCTTTTGGTTGTTAATTCCCTTTGATGCCCATGAGTCATTACACAACTACATGGATGGGCAGGTAAAATACCCTCTCTCACTGTCTCCAGTAATTTGGGAGTTAAAGTTTGGTTTAAAATAATTATGTTATTAAAAGTTGCTGTTTACTTAGTCTAATTTTATCCTTATTACTACTTCCATATGACTCATATTTAGCGTTTATACAGTACTTGCACATGCTGAAGAGCCATAAACAGAGGTATGTATTAAACAAAAGGTGCAGCAACAGAAGGGAAGATCCAGGTGGTGAGACTAAAAAAAAAATTCTCTTTATTTTTCAGAGATGTAATAAAAAGAATAGACCAATCAGAATTTGAAGGATTTGAATACATTAATCCATTGTTGCTGTCAACAGAGGAAACAGTATGAAGGAATGACATCTTCATTGTGGACAAATGTGAATGACCTTTACATTTATCCTTAACTACAGTATATGCATGCAAGGCTGGGGAACTGTAAGGTTTTGGATGGAGACCAATGATAAAAAATATTGCTGCTGAAAATCAAAGAAGAGAAAATGATTTTGATGGGTGTCTTCCTCTACATGTTGGTTTTTAAAAGTTTTAGGCACTGAAACAACTGGCTTCATTAACGAAGGTATTTGCATTTTGTGCCTGCTTCATGAAGGATCAAAATGTTCATTGCATCCTTGGGGAAAAAGAGATTCTAAACAGCTTTGAAGTCTGCACACTTTCTATGAACATTTGATGCAATGAGCTACCAATGGAAGAATATTAGAGTGTAACATCCTGAAGAATAAAATATATTACAGTGGTGTTGAAGCTTATTTTTGATGCCTTTTTTCACCAGTGGTACCTGTCTAAACATCTCAGATATGATATATAAAAGGAGTTGTGTTTTATTAGCAATCAAAACATAAATTTGGGTACAGGATTTAAGTGCCTAAAATGGATAAACTGCATTGAAGAATTATTACAAATTTGGGACATTCTTAACCCTGGTAAGTTCTGCTTGTTAATGTTAAATAAGCATTTACATAAGAAAAATTCTGGTAACAGATGAAACCTAATACTGATTTGCATCTTTATAGAACCTGAAGTACAAAGAAACCCAGCAATAGCATTTCCAAATTAAAATTCACTATATCTATTAGAAAATCTGGCTTGTTTAAAACTTATTTATCAAAATCTTACTTGGATTTTAAAACCTAAATTTGCACACAAAGGATTTCTGAAAATACTTAAGCAGTGCCTACACCTACAGTGATGTTTTGTGTTATGTACTAGATTTTTGAAAAATATTTTTATCAATACAGTATTCAGAAATAGATCAATGAAAGTGTAATGGATTATAGCCTTAAAGTTTAAATAGTAAATTTAGAATATCTATAAACATAATACATTTCCTGATAAAGCACACCTCCTACTTATAATAAACTGTCGGCTTAAAATATTCAGTGTATATTACTAATTAATTGTTCTACATAAGAGAATGGGATGCTTTGATAAAAATGGTTTGCATCAAAACAGTAATCTTTTCAATAGAGGGAAAAACAAATACCCAAGAAATTGGGTATGGTTTAAATTGTCAAATCCCCTCTCTTGAAAACTGGTAACAGGGGATGTTACGTCGCAAAGGCTAATACTGTCAGCTGTGGAAAAACTCATGTCAGTTCATTTGGGGACTCATAAGTGTGCATTGCTGTCTAAAACCTTTCAGATGCTTGTAAAGATTTACCTGCCTCTGCAGAAAACAACCAAGGCAGTATTTCTTTTTTTATTCGGTTTTTGTTTAACTACATTGTGTGGCTTGTAGTTCTGGGGAGGGGAAATTGATATGGGAAGGGAAAAAACCAAGAAACCCTGTGCCATGACATCTCACCTAATTTGGTGTAAAATGCAGACTAAATTGCAACGTTTTCACTTTCTTTATTAACATATAGGTTTCTCAGGGTACAGCATTGCATTAGGTGCTGAACATGACATCTTTCGGATTCACATCCAAGTCATGAGGTGCTAGGATGAGACTGCCAAAATATTGTGTTTAAAATTTTCAATTAACCATGGATTAACAAACTACATTTTGTATCCCCTCATTGGCCACAATTATGCAAACCTGTGGTAATTTAGTTTCATTAATCCCATCCAGATTTGAGTTTTGGGTTTCTCTCCGTTGGACTGTAGCTTTTTATATTAAGCAAGATGTGTTCTCTAACCAGCACTAAATAATTTAGCCAGTAAAAAGTATTTGCCTCAAATGCCTGGAATTTAGATAATTTGTTATCTAGGAAAAGAACTGTTTATTTTTTAAACGTAACGTTCAATTTTAATTCCCAACTTTTTTCCCTCCCTTGGCAATTATTTAATGTACCCTGAATATTTAATGTCTTTCAGTATTTAATTAATTCCCTTGATTTTACAACTGATCATTAGTTGGATCAAATTGACTATAGGCAGCTTTTGCATGGAAATACGACAGATTGAGCTGCCTTGGATGGGGCTGGGCAAAGGACTTTGAAATGGAAACATGGAGGTTTTCTACCTCTTATTTCTGTGACGTGGGGGAGGGCAGGGAAAATGCATCTGCTCAACAAACATGAAAAAATCCTTGATTCACTTAAAATTTAAGGCATTTACGATGTTGCTGTGTTGCCAAATAGTTTGCTGGTTACAAGTTTGGTTGCTCATGTGCAAGTGTATGAATAATGTTTTGTTCATGACAAAGGGGGAAATTTTTTATATAAAGTACTTGTTTTATAAATTAAAGAAAATGAAGGATGTAATTAAATGTGTGGTTTGAAAAAAAATCCTAATATATTACAAATGGATCTGGTAATGATATATAGTTGTCTTATTTGAAATAGTAAATGAAAACTCTAGCTAATTTAATGATTGTAAAACAGTAAATATGTTCTTGTAGTTTTGTATAATTAGTTGAGATCTTTGCTGGCCAGTTTTAATTGTGCAGAAGATGGTATACTAATCCATAACAGCCGAGATCATTTATATTCTTGCACATCTATTAAAGACTTTAATGAAAAAGCTAATAGACTGTTATTATTTCTCAGTAAGTTGAGACATGACCAACATAATTACTTTTTTGAAAAACAGCCTCACTGTAAATGAAAAATTTTGGTGGGTTTCTTGCATTATTATGATACTGTATGCCTGTTCTGTATTTTTAGCTACATCTGAATATCCCATTGCTGAATTCTTGTGTGCAGTTTTCTTGTGACAGAAAATTGATGTTTAGCTCATTGTTTGAGAGGCCCTCTTTCCAAAGCATACTTTAAAGTACAATATAAGAAGGCGAGTAAGGTCAAAATAACAAAGAAAATGCACAGGCTATTCAGTTTTGTTTATAGCCCTCTTGTGAGAAGAAATGAGTTCAAACTCTGAGGATGTGAATCAAGATAGTACGCAATGCACGAATGAGTTACTCTCCCTAGTGAATGGGCATCTTTCCCCTGGGAAAATGAATCTACTGTATATTCTCCCTCCTTCCAAACTGTTAATAAGGTATCACTGAATTTAATGTGTTGCAGCCAGTAATGAGATTTTTTTTTAATTTACGACACATTTAACTGCTGCTATCTTAGTAAACAGTTGGAACTTGATGACTAGTCTGGTTTCCTTTTTAAGCAGAAAATCTGATCTTAAAAATGAAAGCAGAACATAAAAACTACCAGTGATTGTGCTGAACCAAGCAATAGTCCTGGTGTATTTTTTCATACAAGGACAAGTGTAAGCAGTTTTTCCACTTGTGTGGGGGTAGAGTCTTGTTTTGGCTGTGTGTAACTACATTAAACACAGTTAAGCTATAAGAGAAAACATCTAGCTGTGCATTTCTCTGACCTAACTGATGTGCTGTGCTGTGTACCACAATTACTTTTAAACTAAACACTTTAATGGAGTAGACCTTGCCTTAGGGTGAGAACTCAGGGAGCAGAGATCCAAATCCAAGACTGTTCTTTCAATGAAGGGTGCTATTTCTGGCTGCTGACAGACATGGAAAAAAACCAAACTGTACTTTACCAGAAGAGGCAGTGCAGTAAGATTGGTTCAACCCAGCTTTCCACAGCATCTATAGATCATGCACTTCAGTGGGGCTTCTATCTAATAGCTGATTCAATCAGCTATTAGGTAAAAGTGCCAAAAAAGCCCCACTGAAGTACCCGATCTATACAGATGTTGGGCAAGCTGAGTCAAACTAACATGATACCGCTCCTGGGCATGTGCTGGGCTTGGCGCAGGGGCGTACCAAGTTAACGTAAAGCGCCGTTTTTGTTTTTGGAGTTTTTTACGCCTGTAAGCAGCTGCTGTTCCCGAGTTGGGCTGTATCTTATGCACCACGTATACTCGAAAGAAGGCAGAAAAAGTGTAAAATTCCAACTAAATTTTTATTTTATTTTTTTCACAAAGAGCATCAAAAGAAATGTGAAAACCTAACTGCCCATTAGGACCTGCAAAAATGTTAAGTATCAGACAGACATTTTCTTTCCCAAAGAGTTGACTATTTAGAATCTGATCTAAAGCCTAGTGAAGTCATTGACTTCAGGTCCTTTGAATTCAGCACTCTTTTTTTACCTTGCATCTCTTTCTTCTACACCTCTCTATACCATAAACAATTAAATACAGGCGAATCAGAACCAGTATTATTCTTCAGGGAGCCTCAGTAATGCTTTCTTGTTGTGCATACAGGCCCAAATACTGCAAAGAGAACTACACAGATGGATTTCTGTGGGGTTCCACCTGGATTCAGGAGTCTGCCTACAGAGCTCTGTTTGAGGACTGGGGCTACTGCATGTACACTTCTGAGAAGGGTTCAAAGGAAAACAGTAGGCGGGAGCATTTCTGACCTGTCTTTCTGTAGCTTTTTAATTTTTTTTGCAGGTTTAATAAGCATGGTAACTGACACCCTTTTCTTGATATACTTTACTTTTTTTCTTCTAGAGAAATCCGGATGTTAGCATTTGACTTTGTTCTTCATTCTTGTGATTTTACCAAATCACGTCGTCTGCACTTTCAGACAAGCATTTAGCAAGATGACCATCAATGTCCAACTGTGACAACCTGCAAATAAGAGGGAATGTTTTTAGTATATCAGACTTACAGATTTAATCAGCTCCCTTCATCTACTCAGTTCCCCAGACCTGATCTATTATTTTCAAGGAAACAGAAGAAATGCTATTTCCAAAAGTCAGGTTAGTCTTATATTCAGTAAAACAGAAAACCCAAATACAATTGTATTGCAACAATTTTGAATTCCATTTTAAATAGAGAAAAAAGAAATTAAATTCTAAAGCTGAAAAAAGTTCCCTAAATTCCAAAATCCCAGAAAATCTATTTAATTAATATGGGAATAGCACAGAGACTTGCAGAATTTCTTTAACCAGAAAAATAAAAACATTAGTAATATGAAAATTATGCAGAAGGAATTTGAGAGGCTTGTAGGCATGCTTGTTCCTTAAAAGAAAAAGGCAAAATTAATCCTTCCTAATGCAACTTGAGAGCACTTGGCAAAAAAATTAACCCAATACTATTCAGGCCAGCAACTAATGGAGGGCAGGCCACAGAATTCTTTCCTGCCCAAAATCATGTCATTTGACAAATCTGGGGGAAAAAAATTGTTATTGGTTTGTACTGAAGCAAACCTTTTGTTTGTCTCCTTGCACAGTCTCCAGCAGAGAGGAGAATAAAGCTGCAGGAATGTTAACCTGTGGCCATAAGAAGACTTGTTCAGAAGACCATCTGCAAGCATACTACTACTTTTTCTAAACATGTTATTTTTCAGTAGCAGATGGAAATAGCGCGAATGCTGGTAAGTGGTACAGTAAAACAGATTATTTAGTTAATATTTTGAAGCAAAGGTCAGACAAGTTTAGTATTTCTTTTTAAAATTTGCTTTAGGTACTTTCAAAAGCCAGCATAACAATAATGGAAGTGCATGGAATACTGAAATCACATGTAACCTCCTAATGTGGAGAGCAGTGACAGACTCTCCCACACTGTTTGGGCCTAGAGGGCTATTTCTAAAGTTTAAAGTGTAGTAGGTGCACACAAGTAGTCAATATTTTGGCTTGGGTGTTGTGCCCAGAAAGATGTGAATTGAAGCCTACCAAATACTATCAAAAGGTAATTAAATTAATTCACTAATTTCCCATTCAAAAGTAAACCACTAATCTTTGAACTCCAATTTTACATATCTAGCCCATTAGAAAAAAGTTAGTGCTTTTAAGAAAGAGCCAGAGTTTACAATTACAGTCTCAAAGAACATCCTGTGCACTAGGCAAAAGCTTAGTATTTAGGCCGAACTGATGATGTACTATACCAGGGGTGTCAAAGATGCAGACAGCCTGCAGACCAGATTTGGTCTGCAGTCTTTTCATCCAGTCCCCAGTGCTGCCCCTGGTTTTCAGAGTAGACTCACAAGCTGCACACAGGACCCACAGCACGCACCTCAGCCACTCCAGGACCTGCACTGCACACAGCGACTGTTCCAACCAGTCTGGGACCTCACGCTGCAGGCAGTGCCCACCCCAGAGCAAACACCACTTAAAGCATCAGTTCTGGACTGAAAAGCAGGCTCCACATGCAGCACAGATCCCAGACCAGCCAAAATGGGCGCTGTACTGCATGGGTCCTGGAGCGAGCATAATGAGCACTGGGTCCAGAATGTGGGGGAGTATCTACGTAGCCTATGGGGCCAAATGAGTTTGACATCCCTGTACGGTGCTATTTTTGTTTCAGAGAGAGAGGCATTCTCTCTCTCATTATGGTAAAAGATTGAGTATATTTTTTTCTCTCCTTACTCCTTTATTCAGGATAAAATCTTCCAGTGGTTGCAAAAGGATTGCAGGATAAGGTCTTAAAGAGTATTTTTCTTCTCATTCGTATACAGGGTTTTCTATACCCAACCAATCCCTGTATTTATCCAACAAGGAGAACTGAGTGGAAAGCCATATTCATCAGAATGGGAATACTGTTATTCCCTGTCCCAATTGCATAGCATTACTTTGTGCTACTAAACTGCTGACACACTCCACCCTCTGTATAATTTCTGAAGTACTGAAAGCATGCTGAGCCTTAAAAATGAAAGGCAAAATATAAATATCCAGTAGTCACACAATTAAGCCCTTTAAACTGATTTCAGCTAAATTATTTTTATAATACTGGCAACTCTCAGGTATTCTGTATTTTTCTTGAAAAGGAGGCACCAACACAAGAATTTCCACAAATTGTAGTCTTAATTTACTTTCTATAAAAAAAACATAACTTCGGCTAAATTTGTAGAAGATAAGAAAAAGCTCTTCTGCTTTTACCAGCAGCCATCATGCATATAACTGGCAGATTTCTCATTCCCTGAAAGTTATGATGTTACTATCTACTCGGTGACATTTGCTGGCTTTACTGCACCAGTGTAGTTATAGAGCTATACTTATATCGGTACGGTTATCTCAGGTTGACTGCTTTATTCAAAACATGAATCTTTTTTTAGATAAAAGGATATGCATGAGGAATTATATCAGTATAGTAATAGTGGTACATTTCCCCATAAAGACAAATGCTACACACAGCTGAATGATCCTTTACCTTGGTCCAAATAAAGTTATCATTTGGAGTTGTTCTGGGCTGTCACTTTGTATTTTAAACAAGGTCTTGGCAATACTTTATAAACAACCTTTTTTGCCCCTTTCTCAAGGATCTGTTTATTTTTCCAGTAATCCTTTTTTAAAATTTACTTTTGTAAACATGGTGCTGAACTGATGCATTCTGAGCACTGCTGTCTGGGAGTGCATGGCACCACCATGGATTAGACTCCCTTCCTGAGTCAGTCAGTAATAAGTTTCTCCACATTATAGCTGAGCACTACATAACACAAGTAGTGCCATACTGGGTCAGACCAGTGGTCTATCTAGCTCAGTATTCTGTCTCTGACAGTAGCAGAAATGGATGCTATAGAGGAAAAACGTTAAACTTGGATCTAGATCACTAGAGTGATCTATCCCCTATTCAAAACCTTCCCTGACATCCACCATTATTGGTTCAGAGATGTCAGAAGAAACATCTCTAACCATTCTGTTCAATACCCATTAATAGATCCATCATCAATGAACTTATCCAATACCTTTTTGAACCTGCCTCCACCATCTCCTGTGGCAATTAATTCAATATATTAACTATGCATTCCGTAAAAATGTTTGTTAGTTTTAAACCTGTCACCTACTAATTTCAGCAGGTGCCCCCTAGGTCTAATATTCTGGGATCCTGAACAGTTCCCTGTTCACTTCTCTGTTCTCTATCATACTCCTCAACCACTGCCTTCTTTCCAATCTGAAGAGTCCTAGCCTTTTTAGCTTTTCCTGGTATGGCAACTGCTACAGGCCCCTGATCATTTTGGTTGCCCTTTTCTATATTTTTTCTAATTCCGCTACACCCTTCTAAAGATATGGGGACCAGATCTTCAGGCCCGGTCTACAGCAGATTTTCTTGGTATACATAAAGGGTGTTGTTTTTTGGGACGTTTTTATGCCAGCAAAAGCCCCTGCACAGATCTAGCTATACTCTGTCAGTATTTCACTCACTAAACCCATCTCATCTGTAGCTCTACCAGGAAAGCTGTTTAATATAAACTTGGCTTGGGGAAGTAATAAGAAATGGACGAATGTGCATGGATATGGACACTAGTCTTTGACTAACAGGAACACCAATTTGGGATGAAATCTCATTTCGTAAACACTGGGTATTTTCAAATCAGCATATTCAGCGTACCAACTTTGAACACACCGACAAAGTTTACAGTCAAAAAAGGGCTCAAATGTAGTTTCCATCTTAGGATATTGTAATATAGTAAGCATGGAGACCTTACCCCAATTTAATTTGGATTTAGAAAGTGATAACTTAAACTATAGAATTTTTGCCCTAATATAAACAGCTTTATATAAAGCAGTCGAGAACCCCACCAAATGCAAACTGGTTGTTCTATATTCTAATAACTTATTTCAGACCAACATGATAAACTTACATTCCACTAAACTGGATTTGACACATAGGACAACTATCAAGAGTTACAGTTCTCTGACTCCGAGCCTCAGCCTTTTCTTCAGGGCCTTCCATTCTGGGGGTATCGGTCGGGTGAAGTTTTATTTCTAGAGATGTAGAGCTGGTCTCATCTAATGTAACGTTCTGGTGGTGTTTTTGCACATTTGGCAATCTTTTGCTTTCTTTTTCTTTTCTGTATTCCTCTTTGCTCTTTGCTGACTTTTTGCAGACCTGTTGAAGACTAAAATCCTTCCCTAGGCTTTTTGTGGGAGCTGGTGTCAAATCCAGTGTTGAATATGTATGTTCAGTGAGTTTACATGGTTCAATCTTTTCTTCCTTTGTTTTTGAAGAATTTCTTGTGCTGTCTCCAATTCTCAGGTTCTCAGTAGGATCTTCAGTGGCTGCAAGGGATGTTTTCTCAACTGTGGGAGAAACACTTTTCCATTTTTTGTCTGTTTGGTCTTCACCTGTCATTAAATGGTCAGTTCGGCTTTCTGATACCTGATGATGGAAACTTGGATCATGTGTTTTAAGAGCTTTTTCTCTGCAGAAAGCTGGATATGGCATCCATTGAAAATCTTTTTTTCCAACCTTAAAGACTTCTGGGTTTAGTGGTTTCTTATTTTCAGAACACTAAAAAAAAAAAAAAAAAAAATCAACAAAAAAGTCTTCAAAACCATTAAAATTCCTTCCACATGCACGAGTAGCTAGAAAGCAAATGTATTGTAGAGGCTAGTGCTGCAGAGGATTCTTATTTGAGTGAATAGGTCTTTTTGATCTATAATCTGTGTCACAGATTATTTTGAGAATTTAATTTTCTACTGTACTCCAGTTTATAGCCCTGCTCACTATGTAAACTTCACAATGACTGAACTCAACGAATGCCGTCTTTTTAGCACATTACAGAAACTTAAAGTAATCAAAGGAGGATACACAAAAAGGAGCTGAAGGGTGCTGTTGTTTGTCTGTTCTTCATGCATATGTTTTATTAAGACAGTGACACTTCTAGAGGTCTTCACTTTACTGTTGTTTGTATTGCAGCTGTGCCTCATATCCCCCGTCAAGGCTCAGAGCCCTGCTGCACTAGGCACTGTGCAAGTTAAATACCATCATGTTGCTGCACATTTGGGGTGGAGTTCTGTTTCTCCCTGGTGATCCAAGTGGCCATTTTTAGTTTACTATTCCCTGTCTCTTTCCTTTTGTGCGAGCCTAGTGTTCATAACAGGCAGCAGACTTGGCATTCTTGGTATCCTGAGCCACAGGTCAGGTTGGTACATGAAGCAGCAAGCTTCATGTCATTTCTGTTTTGGAAAACTCAGCAAATCTAGCCAGGGTTCCTAGCCAATATTGATAAGTTTCGTCTTAAAATTCTAGACCACTGTTCCAGATTAGTAGTTGTCTGTGTGGGATCCAGAGAAAAGCTAGTCTCTAGAGCTAAAAACAGATGTTGCCTTTGAGGCGGTTCTGACTGGATCAGAGTCAAAACCTGGGAGAAAAGAGAGTGACCCTTTATACACATGGCTCATGCCTGGAATGAATGGCAATTAACACAGTAAGCCATGATTATCCCAGGAACAAGTGTTACATTTTATCTCATGTACTGCACAGGTCCTTAGTATGACAATGGGCTTGTACATTTGTACATTTCCAGGATAAAATAATTTATTTCGGGAGAAATGCAACTTCTGATTTTAGCCTATTGTGCGTCAACCTTAGACTGTCTCATAACTAATGACATCTTAATGAATGAAGATTCATTAATTCTTGAACAGTCTAACAGACAATGAAAGAAAATCTTCAAACAATGCTACCTTGCCCGAAAACTCTGGTAAACTGGGCACCATTTTCCAGCTTGTGGGTTTCAGATCTGGATTGACAGCCTTCAATAGCAGCATCCACATATTTTCTGATGCAGTTAAACCTTGTTCAAACCAGGAAGTTCTGCCGGGCAAAGTCCTGGTTAAAAGCAAAAACAAGGAAAATAACACACTGCTGTTAAAAATAATAAAATTCTTTCCCCCAATTACGTGGATATTTCCTTATGTCTGTATGAATAAATGTTAAAGCAAAGTTACAGTATCGAGCAATGCACTTGAGCAGTAGTTCTCAATTTTTCCAGACTCTTAGTAGAGTAAAAATTTTATATCCTTCCATCTAGCTGTAATTAAGGGAATAAGGATTTGATTATAACTTCACTGTTGAAAAACTATTAATTAAAACACACCTAGAATGTCTTCTCTCCAAAAGGACTGAATGGTTTGTGGCAAACAGCCTCCAACAAGGACAGGTGTTCGAGATTACTTACAGTTTAAGTTGTTAACAACTGCTCTACGATCTTCCCCTTATGAGGTTTTTAATACACTGTTGCTCAAAAGTTGCCTTACTTAAATTTAAGTATTTTGATTTTCGAGACAGAAATGCAAAACTAAGAGCAGATGTGACAACTGTTCAGTTTTTTTAATTCCACCTTTATACCTGTTTGCTACTTTTTTTTTAACTTCCCCTACTTCTCAAAGCATCTTAGAACACATCAAAAGGGAAAAGTTGTATTTATATTTGAGAAGTTCAGCCGTTTAATGTACAAGGCACTGTTTTCTCCTCCCTGTAATAAATAAAAAAAGGTTGAAAATCCCCGCCTTATGACATCTAAACCACTTCAAAACTCGTACCAATGAAGCAGGCATATTACAGTTACTTGGAACTGTTTCATTTAAAAAGGTCTGCCTTATAGAAACCAAAAAAATTAGTTTTGGCAGTCTAATAAAAGCCATGGACCAAAAGTCCATATTCAGTAGAAGAAAAATACCCTCAGGGCTTGAACATTCACAGTAAACGTTCACTCGGTGACCGCATCCCTTCTGTCTCTCGATGAACCTTAGTTTGGTTTTCTTACCAACTGCCTTGTATATTAAATTTTGCGAAGGTACGTGGCTGTTTCACTGTGTTGTGAAGAGGTAGGTTGTGGCACTTCACCTCCCATATGCCAAATGGCCCATTCTGCTAGCTGGAAAAAAACCCAAACTTTTATTTTTTGGAGGCTGAGCTTTAAAATAAGTTGCGTTCCTAATAAATGTGGACGGGCTAGTACGTGGCACAGATTCACCGTGGCAGGATTTAAGCATCCCCCCTGCACAAGAAGTGCTACTGGTGGATCCTCATAGAGGTGTTTCACCACGAGAAATCAATCCGGCCGGTGACCGGGCTGTACGAAGGCGAGCCTTCCCGGTTCCCAGGTGAGACCTTGCCAAGCTGCTGCTCGTGCCTCCTTGCACGGCACCGCTGTCGTGGGACGACCATGCGCCCACGGCTGGCTGCAAGACCAGGCAAGGGTTTGGTTCACCACAGCGACTCGCTGGAAACCCAGGCGCAACCGTTACGAACCCCTCAAACGGGACAGGGAGGAGGAGAGGACTTCTCCGCCCTCTCCCCGCTCAATGCAAAGCGCAGCGGGAGCAGTCAATAGCGCGGCGCGGCGCGCCCGCGGGGTCC